TAGAACAATCGAAAACGTTGTCTTCACTTTCAGCCCTTTTTGCTGAACGTGATCGCTTCAAATACAAACACAACGCACCGTTAACCTGAACGGTATTCCCAAATCACACAATGCGTCCATAATTTCAGTTCTCGTCGGTCGGGCACTACCACTACCATCCTGATAAAGTGGAACTAATTGTGTTGGCTGAAAATTTATTTCTGAGAAAAACATTTCAAAAGCAAAATTGGCTTCTGCTTGTCGACAAAATCTCAATTGTTTTTTGAGACCATAGAAGGAATCTCTCTGACTGCACCAAATTAAATCGAAAAGAAGAATTAATGAAATGACTATATAATAGAGTGCAACTTCGGTTTACGAGCACGATTCCTTCAAATATTCAAACATAATCCAGACTTGTCGCAAAGCGAAACATTCGCACACCTGATGCCAACATACATGATGAAATTATTAGGAAGGAAATGTTATGTTCACCATCGAGACAATTACAAAAAGCTGAAAGAATTATTGAAGCACAGTGATTAAAATATACTGACGTGATGTTGTTTTAGTATGGTCATGTCATTTTGACGTTTCTGTGATAACGCCTCACTGATATCGTGAACAAGCGCATCGAGGGGAGGTCGTGCGCTTGAAGCATTCCGTTTCTGCAACGTAAACCCTCATACATAATCTTATGAACATATGAGATCTTTTAGTTGGTGAATTCAAAGACTAGAATTTGGTTTCTTCACAAAGTGTTGGTATGAAAAGAAATGATTAGTTTTTCGTTCACTGAACGTATGCTGAACCAGAATAAACACATTCATATGATTTATGACATAATATGTTTTAGTTTTTTATGGCTATGGATCGAGCGATTTGGAAATTTCATCAAAAAGCAACACCACTGAAATACCGCCTCTCGCTCGCTATTGTTGTTCGTTCAGTGGACAATAACCAATTTATACTACTCGGAAGCTTCAAGAAGCCCATGAAGTAGGTTGATTCTACTTTGATTAACGCACAATTGCTCTCAATCAGTATATACTCTAACTACTCACGCACTGGCAAGTGCCTTCACGGTAACCAAATTATGGTCAAAAAACATCGTCAACTGAAGAGAGGGAGGGCAGAGGCATATGTTTCAGAAGAATTATCGGATACCGGATGGAAGTTTGGTAAACGAAGTGGATGTACTCGATGTTCGTGAATAACGATCGTGTTGATAGAACGTGAGCATGAGGCGATCGCTTTGTACGTGCACATTGTCTTCATTGTGATCGATCGCCGAATAAATGTTCGTTTGATTACGGATAAACTTTGAGAGATATAAATCAGTTCATCAATAAATAAATCATCGCTTCTTTTTGGGCTCGTGCATGAGGAATCTAAAATCTGATCACTAAATTCAATGAGCGAGAGCATCAACTGCATTGAATCAAGAAGAATATCTGTTATGATATACGGCTGTGGATCGTGACAATTATTCAATCACAGATGCGACGGTATTTTCCACAATCATGAGATCAAGGAGAGTGCACCAATAGAGATTGCACGATGTCTTATTGTTAGCGAAACGATCGGTAACAAATGTTTCCAATGCCATGAAAAGCACTGATTGACGGGATAGGACATTTCGAATATTCGAATACATTTTCGAATATCTATTAATATGAAGATATTCGAACAGACTGAATCCGAATGTTCTGTGGATGTAGTGAATCGAAGTAAGGTGAATGTTAACTGGGGAAAGCTATCAAAACTTGTGCAAAAGCATCACATCACGGCTCTGAGTACTGGATGACTGCTACTACGCTTCTAAATAGCCATATTTGATTTGAATGAAAACAATCACGAAAAGAGAAAGAACACGAACCGAAGCAAGGAATTTTTATTCATTCACGATTGTTTGGTTGCATTTGGCAAAATTGATTTAATTTAAACATTACAATGGGCACTCGAACCATGAAACACTTACAGAGAGAGATGATCCGTGACAAAGTAAGTGAGTACTTGAACTTAACAGTTCAATTTGACGATAATATTTGTCGTGATATTATCTGTGTTCGTTTACAATTGTCACACCGATCAATCACTTACAATACGATTCTGAGATAGCAAATATCGAAATTTCACAGAAAGTTACCAATTCGTTTACAATACACCAATTTAGAATATAACATTCAAAAGTTGCTTTCGAATATATAAACAGTTCATCGCAAAGATTAAAATACAATAAAAGTCATGTAATAATCTCGATTGCAAATTACAAGTGATTTCACTTTAAGAAATGAGGAGGCATCTAAAGCAACAACGATGAAAAAAGCTAATGGAAAGCAATTTTCCGACCGATGAGGCGATTTGAGGAGAGCGTAAGAGTAGAATGTGC